ATCTATCTATCTATCTATCTATCTATCTATCTATCTATCTATCTATCTATCTATCTATCTATCTATCTATCTCCTAGTGAAGAGAAGGACCAGGGAGACATGATATCAGTGTTCCAATATTTGAGGGGCTGCCAGAGAGGAGAGGGTCAAGCTATTCTCCAAAGCACCTGAAGGCCAGACAAGGAATAATGGATGGAAACTGATCAAGGAGAGATTCAACCTGGAAATAAGGAGAAATTTTCTGACAGTGAGAGCAATCAACCAATGGAACAGCTTCTCTTCAGAAGTTGTGGGAGCTTCATCACTGGAAGCTTTCAAGAAGAGATTGGACTGCCATCTGTCAGAAGAGGTGCTTGGATGGGATGTTGGACTAAATGACCTACAAGGTCCTTTCCAACTCTGTTAATCTGTTAATCTTCAGGAAAAGTTGGAGCTAAATAAACTGCTGACTCCAATAGTCACTCATCCTCCATAGATCAAAAATCTGTCTATCTATCTATCTATCTATCTATCTATCTATCTATCTATCTATCTATCTATCTATCTATCTGAATACAAGTAATGGGGTGGGGAAGCATATCCACCCTATCCCAAGGCCAGGAAGAACAGCCAGGTCTGCAAGCCTTCTGAAATGGCAAGAGGCAAGCCAGATTATTTGAGTACACCACCAAAGCCATTTTGCTTGGTTGGGTGGGCTTTTTAAATCTAATTGAGAAAGAGAAAGAAGAGAAACTTGATTGTGCACCATACAAATTATCAAATTGGGGAAAATTGGGGACAGGATGGTATGCAATATCCCATGGCCTTTAAACTCATTTCCACACCTTGTTGGAACATGGGTGACTGAAATCCTTGTGAAGAAACAGAAACTATTTTCCTGGCATTCTCCTCAGTGTAGTTTGCTTCTCAACATGACTAAAAATTCTGAACACAGGGTAAATGCATATTGCATGAAAATGTAGAATTAATGCATACAGAGATGGCATGCACACATAAATTACCTATAGAATACAGCTGGTAATAAGCCACACACTTGCAAACCATACTGATTCAGGTAAATCTTCTGCCAGGTTCTAAATTTAGAATATAAAAATTGCTTGATGCATTAAGCAATGTGTGTACAGGGATTAATTGTTTAATTCAAGAAAAGGCTTCTGAAAAATATCAACATTTATAATAATATCAACCGATACAAACTCTACAGATGGAAAATTCAGGCTTCAGTAACTATTTGAACAAGCAAAAGCATTTTGATGATTTTTGTGTATACATATGGGGTTTTATTACCAATTGAAATGACACAGAGAAATAAATCCAAGATGAAAATGCTTCCTTGTGCAACTGGCTCTATGAAATGGAGAACCAGAATTTAAGAGAAGCTGGGATTTTTATTTCCATTTCTGGAACAAAACTTATCAGAATTAAGCTACAGAAGAAAAGCTACAAACTAAAATGATACATCTTTAAGAGCTAAATTGTAATTTCACTTGGAAGAATTGTTTTTCGTGCTTTCCAAATGAAAAGTCTGAGGAAAGCAGTCCCCTCTTCCCAATTTTTAGGCCTTCTTGGCATTTCCTCTGTATTTTTCCGCTTCTGTTAAACATTCAAGGCAGACTTTGATCAGCTTTTAATCAGGTTGTAAGAAGCCTATTCTACATATCACTCTATTACTTTAAGATGTTACTTAAGCTTGCGGCAATTTTTGTTGTTCTCTTAATTGGATAAGCTTTTTCCCCCTTTTGTATCTTGTCAAAACAAACAGAGGCGGACTTTCTCCATCTCTTCCCCTCTGTTCTGAGATAAGTAAGATAACATGATGGTGTGATTTGTTTTATAAACTGACATTTTCTCATGATTTCCCTCCCCCTTTTTTTCCTTTACATTCTTTTTTCATTCTTACAGTTTTTAGAAGTCCTTCACCTGTACACATTAACTCAGAATTCTGTCATTTTATGTAACATTGCTTCTTGGTTCAGGAGAATGCACATAAGAAATCAAGTAGTTTCTAAATATATCAGTACAGCTGTATCTTTATCATGTGCCAGAGTCCACAGACAGTCATTACAATATATAATTATCGAGAACACAACCAGTGAAATCAGTGGAAGCCATAACATTTAATTTTAGTGAAATGCAGTTCACATCTGGAATTCTTGTTTTATCAAACACTCAAGTTTACATGTCAAGCAATTCACACTTTTTAAAACTACTCCATGTCTTTCTCACCATCTGCTCCCCCCACCCCAAATCATGCAATCCTTTCAGGAAGAGGCTTATAAAATTACAGTTCTGAATGTTTCTTGTGAGGCTTCCATAAGATAAGGATTGGTGAAATGGTTTCTCTGGCATTTTTGTTTTATTTTGCTTTTCACTCCATGTACAGGTAGTTCTTGACTTACAACTGTTTGTTCAAAGTTACAAAGGCATTGAAAAAAATGACTTATGTCTGTTTTTCAAATTTAACAGTGTTGCAGCATCCCCATGGTCGTGGGATCAAAATTCAGGCACTTAGCGACTGCCTGTTTTTATGATGGTTGCAGTGTCCCGTGGTCGCACGATCACCTTTTGAGACCTTCTGACAGGCAAAGTCAACAGGCAAGCAAGATTCATGTAACAGCCATGTTACTAACTTAACAACGGCAATGAATCACTTAGTAACTGTGGCAAAAAAAGGTCATAAAATGGGACAAAACTCACTTAACAACTGCCATGCTTAGCAATGGAAATCTTGGGTTCAGTTGTGGTCATAAGTCAAGGACTACCTGTATGCATCTTCTCATGGGTAGAACAGTTGATCTAGGAAGAGAAAACTCTCAAATGGGGAACGGTTCCAGAAGAGAGCAAGTAGAGAACAAAGGCTTTGCAGAAAGGCCATTTTAAGGAAGATCAAGGGAAGCTATGGTTTCAGGGGGAATCTTTGTAGAAAAGTAGGATGCCCTAAAATGATTGCCTCAATTAATTTTCAACATCAATCTGGCTTCTTCTGCCTTGCTTCATTTTCAGCTCTTTTGTTTGCTTAAAGCACAATAATATCTTGTCAAGTAATATTGTAAGGCTCGGATAATATTGTAATCTGGGTTTTTCTGCAAGCTCTGGGAAAGGATCTAATGTAGGTTAAATGTATTGCATTTTGTTATTTTTGCTCTTAGTGGACTTAGATTCTTTCTTGGTAACTTTTTCATTACTAGTTCTCAGTGTAGTTTTTTTTTTACTACTACTACTACTACTACTACTACTACTACTACTACTACTACTACGATGATGATGCTATTTTTGAAATTTTAGCCCTTTTATTCCCAGAAGGGTATATAAAATGCTCTGCATATAAGCCCCAATAAACAAACAACAGACATCAGGTGTATTCTTGTATATAACTATCTTTTTTCAGGCAGAAGGATTTGCTTGTAGTCCCTCTTGACTCCTGTGACTGTTATGATGAGTCCCAGCAGTTTTCTTGGCAATGTTTTTTTTCCCCAGAAGTGGTTTACCATTGCCTCCTTCCTAGGGCTGAGAGAGTGACTAGCCTAAAGTAACCTGGCTGCCTTCATGCCTAAGGTACCTCTTACAGATAATCAGAGTTGGAAGGGACCTTGGCTTGTAGTTCATCTAGTCCAACCCTCCCCCCCCACCGCCTAAGCAGGAGACCCTACACCATTTCTGACAAATGGCAGTCCAGTCTCTTCTTGAAAGCCTCAAGTGATGATGCTCCAACAACTTAGGACTAGAACAGTCTCCCGAAGTCTAGCCTGATGTCTTGACCACTACCCTAAGTTGCCTCTTACATGTCATTTACAACAGGAAATATTTAATATGCTGAGGAAAGAGGAAATTAGGCTCCTATATCCAGACATACAACATTCAGCTTGTGCAGTGCAAACAACCTCTGTAAGCATAAGGTGAAGATGTTTTTGAGCTTCATTCTTTACTAAAATCAGGAATACAAAATTTTCCACAGCAGCTACAAAATTTTTACGTGTAAGTTTTTTGCATGTGTATGTTCTATATATCCAAGACTGGATGTGAGCCTTCTCCTCTACATTCCATGTCGGAAACAATCCTAGTTATAAATTAAACAGCAAGACACGAAACAGAAAATGTCCATAATTATGAAACAATAGCACTGAATAATGTAATATAAAGCCATGTAAACACTTTTTTTTATTTTGTCTTTTTTGTCACTTTTCATTGTTCCCCTAAATCCAGGATCATATTGTTACTAATATTGTACTAATATTGTAAATGCCTTCATAATTCTATAGCTGGGTTTTGTAACTACTGATTTTAGTAATAGTTATACAACAGTATGTATACAGTATGTGTGTGGGTGGGTGTATGCATGTTAGAAAACAGTAAACAAGAACAAGTGTTTAATTGAGGCCAATACCACAACTAAATATCGGATTAAGGACTTGCCAAAATTCAGAGCCAAAAGCTAAGTTGGAACAATTAAACATTAGTTATATGTGTTATATAAGTGTTGTATGTAGCAATATAGGCCCATGGTATATTTAATAATATTGTTTGATATTTTGTTGTAAAACTTCAATTTATTTGGAGGTGTTATTTTCCAAATGATATTAATGTTATCATTTGATTACCAGGTTGCAAATGTAGGTTTCCAGAGCTAATACATTAGGCTTATTTGGGTTTCTGCTAAATCAGACAGGTGTTTGAAGTTTATGTCAGAAGTTGGTCTTTTTTCAGCCTGTTGTGTAGAATTAACATCATACCCATTCTTTAGCAAATACTTCTAGTTATCAAATGCTTTTATGATAGATGGACAATTACAATGACAGTTTCAATTTGGTCAGAAATCATCCTCTTTTAAGACACTTGAAAAATCAGGGTGATAGTTTTTCCTCACTCACCTTGTATGTTTGATTTTGATTTGTGTTGAGTGAACCTAGTCATTGCTGTTTATAAATCGAGATGTATGTCTTGTGGTTAATTTTGCTTTCTTCAATAAATATTAAACAAACAGTGGTACACCACAAAGTGCAAAGCAAGTAATAGGTGCTATAGCTATTACATCACACCACATCATCGTCTGGTAAACAATTTTCTGCATTTACCCCCGTCAAATATCACTAGAATGTTGTACTTAGTTAATAGCTAAAGTAAAATCTATCCTTTTGGCAATGTCAAGTACTTAGTTGTTATTTTTAACAGATTGTTTAAAGGGCCCCAAATAAATGTCAGATTTATTTCTGTTTTGTGCTTGTTGTAATACCTGTCCCAGGTACCTCAAGATGAATGGGGAGGTTACCCTGCTGGTGGTAAAGATGAGGAGATTCCCTGCAGAAGGATGAGAAGTGGAAGTTATATTAAAGCCATGGGAGATGAGGAAAGTGGAGATTCTGACAGTAGTCCCAAAACATCACCAAAGGTAGCAGTCCATCCGGAATCATTGTTAAAATCTATTGGACAAAGAGCCCTTGGTGACCTCCAGAAGTAAGCCTCTCAAAGCTTTTTTTTCCTTTTTTTTATTTTTGTGGGTTTCATTCCTTTCTACTATTTCTTCATCTTCTACTTCAGCTGATAATGTTCTAAAAATAATATTGGTTGGATATACACTTTCTCAGATTAAGCAGATGCTTTTTATTGCTGGCGGGAAAATAATTTCTTACTCCATAACAGCTGGCCATTGCGTTTCTAAGGCAAAGGATGAATGTCTAGTCACGATTCAAAGTATGAAACGCCTGAATGTTGGTCAGTTAGTTTGGAGTGCTTTAAAAAAATACAAAGAAATGAAGCCATAGTCACCTGACTATGTTAAAATACTATCCACTGTGCCTTGAATTGGCTGAAAAGTATGCCAGCCTTACTGCCAAACCCTATTCTGTCTCAGTAATGAGGTCAATGACCAGTGCTGTCCATACTGTTTTAATGCAGAACAAGTTACAGAAAATGAGTGATTGATTCCCTATCGTGTTCCTCTCTACCAATCATTGTTTTTAATAGGAGATAAAGTGTGGGTGGATGCTTAGTGTTCAGTCACCTTTCAGTTGCTTAATTATAGGTTGCAACCATAGAGATACTCCATGCTTGGGTTCCATCAGTTAGGCATTTTCTGAAAACAGGTCTACTATTTTTCAGGTGTCAAAAAATAGATTGGCTGACAGGACATAAGACCGTAAGAGAGGCCCAAGAGTGAAGTAGTAGAGAGCGATTAGTAATGAGTTAAGAGTCCTAAGAGACAGAATCATTCACATCAAGAGTCTATGCACCAATGTATCTAACCATAGATATGGGGTTCATGAGGAATCTTTTGTTGCTTTGCAACCCCATGTCACCATCAGCTTCTTGCTGATACAGTATCACAGAGAATAGTCCTTTGACAAGGAGAGTTTTAATCCTCTCGCAAGGCCCTGACTAAACATCCCATCTTCATCTTGGAATATAATATTGATTCTGTAAGACATTTGAAAGTTAGATGAAGCAACAAGCCAAATTAAGTTGGTCACCTGGTTGCTGAGGATGCAAATGAAGGAAATCCTGTTTTTGGTATGAGGGTTTCCTTGACTAGGAGAAGGGAAAATACACAATCTTAACACGCTTCTTAAGCCTTCACCATTGTTTTTCCACTTCAGTTGAAAGGCAAAATGCACATGGTATTGTCAGTGTTCCAAGTAATACACCCGTTTCAAACAGAACTCTGAGGCAAGTTGGTTCCTCAAAGGAGAGTTTTATTTGGAGATATCATCTTGGCACAAACTGGTAGAAAACCATCTCTGAGTGTTTCCATGCTTTTCACCACTTTAAAAGTTTCCTGTTTTCTCAAAACAATAAATCACATTATCCAATCTGGATACTAGCTGGTTGCCTGTTTACGTCTCTCCTCCTCCTCTGGCCATCCAGCCATTGGAATGTCTCTGACTCATCAAAGAGCTATTTTGTTTTGGCTACAAAACCCCATCTATCTCTACCCCCCCCCCCCCCTTCAGCTCCAGGCTGTGTCAACCTGAAGCCATGTGAAGAGAAACCCCAATAGGAAAAACAAACCCCACAGAAAAGAAAATGGCCACAGCCAGGTCAGCTTCAGGCTTGACAGGTATATTATTATGAGGTTAAATGAAGAAATGGCTGTCCAATTACATTTTTTCCCTCAGAGTTAATCACATCTCTTAAATGGAAGGCAAATGTGGTCTGTCCTGTAGTTTGCAGACTGATACAGCTTTGTGTCTTTTAAGAAGTAAGAATCAAAACATGTATTTACAAGTCCAGCCCTCCCACAAAAAAAGCTTGCTAAATACTTAGAATTTCTTCTTTTAGCTTTGCCTTGGAAAGGTCCTTCCATTTCTTAGCTGCTCATTGGGGAATACCATCAAAAGCCTTCTGATCTCTGCCTTTCATAGTCCAGGAAGTCCCTGTCATGCACTGTATTTCTGTATCATTCATGACATTTAAAACCCATAGACTTTACTGAAGAGATAAAGTTATTCATTGTTCAAGGACCTTTTGTAAGAAGCTAGGATGAATGGAAAGTTATTCATACATCCACTGAAATCAGTTTCAGAAGCATTTGTTTGTAGACTGCCATTTTAAACGAAACAAATATTAGTCAAATTAAGCAATGCTGTTAGTCCACTAATGAGAAAAAAATCTATCTGTTTGGAGGAGATAAATTTTATTTAAATTGATTGAACATCCAAGACAGGGTCATCAACAAGAAAAATAATTACCAATTTGAAAATTGTGAATCAATTTACCACAAATAAGCCAGATCTTCATGTGAGAGTAGCATCAAAGAAGCTCAGTTAACTGCAGGGAAGAAGTGCATTACAGGTTTGCAGTTTTAAGTTTTTCAAAAGTCAAAAATATTAATAGGAAAAAGGAAAAATGTCTGAACTGAAGTAATATCCCATGTGTAGCATTTTGAGAATTACATTACCTAGCACAGCAAGTAAATTATCATAGTCTAAGAAATCAGATTACTGCTGCTACGCTAAAATATTACATTGTCTCAAAAGCGCTACATTGCTTCCCAACATGTATTCTTGAATCAAGTTTTTGCTGTCTGACTATGTCTTTTACATGTGTGTGTGTGTGTAGAACTCCTTAGAAATGTAGAAGCTGTAAATCTGCTATGAATGATTGTGAGCTGGTAGCAAACAAGTGGTTTAGGAGCTATGTCTGTTACTCTGCAATCCTCAAATTGAGCCTTTTAAATCCCTTATTTTCTTTTTTAATGGTAATTAAAAAGGTAATTTGGTGAAGGAGCATTAAATGCAGGAGAAAGAATGAAGGGAAATGAGGCCTTCAACCATGTGTTTTCAGGAAGTCAGTGGTGGTATTCAGCTGGTTCACACCGGATTGGGCGAACTGGTAGCAAGAATTTGGCATGGGTCGCTGAACCGGTAGTAAGTTCTGGCTGCCCACGCTCCCGAACCGGTCACCCTCCTGCCTGATGCTCGCTCACCCCACCCGCCTGACGTTCGCCTAAGGTATTTCTTCCTTTTTTTTCCCTCTGAACAATCAGCTGTACATTGATCAGCTGCGCCAGGATTCCCCTTGCTGAGGCCCACGAAGGCAAAAATTGGTTCAGCCCCCCCTCCATTTTTTGCCTTCCTGAGCTTCAGAGGAGCCTTGGGGGAGCAAAAATGCCCCCCAGAGGCTCTTTTGAGGCCAGGAAGCTTGCTGTGTGCCCCCCCCCCAATCTCTATTTCTTTTTCTTCCTGAGCCCAGAGGAGCTTTAAGGGAATAAAAATGCCACCCCAGAGGCTCCACTGAGGCCCAGAAGGCCCAAAAAATGGGTGGGGGCTGCAAAAAAAGTAATGGCCACCCAGCCACATGGCCACACCCACCAAGGCACACCTACAGAACAGGTAGTAAAAATTTTTGAATCCCACCACTGCGGGAGGTGGGAATTATTGGCCACTCTTTATAAATAACATTACATTTTTTGATGATGAAGAAATCTGAATCCAATTATTAAGCATCACCTGCCCACCTGTTGCCTGCATAATCTCTAAGGCAGCTGGCTGAGGAAATCATGAATAGTCCATTTGTATGCACCCCTCAGCATAAATTTATCATCTGTTCATTTGCCACCAACCACATTCCTCCAGAATGGAAATTAATGAAGTCTTCCATGGTCTTGATCCTGCACCAGTCTTCTTTTCCAGTGTTTCAGCTCCTCGTCTTCACAAGTACCTTTCCAATGCCTTTCCAATGCCTCAAATGCTTGTATTGGCCAAAACAATTGTGGCAAAAAGTATAAGAAGTCCATGAATTGACATTCAGGGAAGAGTGTTATGGAGAAGACCTGTTCCTGACCAGAATGGAATGCCCCTCACGTAGGCAGCCCCTTTATGAACTAAGTTGTGGCAAAAGCTTAGCATATTTTTCTATTCCAAATTATTATTTTTTCCAAGTGCCTCATAAGGGTGAGAAGGGATTTTGTTTGGGGAGGGTTTTTTTTATCATAGTTCGTATATGGCATATAGCTCATATATAGTTCATTAAGTACAGAACGCCCGAAGAGTTAAAGATCACTTTCCTCTCAGCTCCTTACATTCCTTTACTTTGGCCAGTTTGAAAATCTAAGCTTCTTGCCTTGTTAATAAATTTTTCTAACATAAATTTTCACTGTCTACAATCCAAGAAGAGAACTGGAAAATATAGAAATAAGAAAACAAAACAGGGTAAAACCATTATTTTACCCTGAGCTATTCTCTCAAGAAAAGATATCTTTTCTTTTAACCTTTGCCATTTAATGGTTGTTGTTTTTTACTTGCCTCAAGGGTGGGTTGTAATTCCTACATACTAATTGGCTCCCTTCCTTTATCATATAGTATCCAAGTATTTAAATGAAGATTATTTGAGCTATATTTCTGAGAAAGCCAGAATTTTAAGCTTTGGATTGAATGGCATGGCTGTGCAGAAAATTTGTAAAATAGATAAGGCATGATTTTCTGTCTTTTTAAGAACAGTTCTTTCTGAATTAGTGTACATCCAGAACCAGGTGTGACCTGTGTATTTTCACATCATTTTTTTAAGGTACAAGTGAAAGCTCCATCAAAGCACAGTCTTCACGGGTCTGTGGACCTCCTTTCTAGACTAGCAAATGCTTTACGAATGTTTAAAATCAAAAGGGAGACCAGATTTGTAAAAGTTCATTTAATAGAGTCTGCTGTGTGTTTTACCACCATGAAGATCTATTCAGACCTATTCAGTAACAACAGAATTATTAAATAGAATTAACCATACAAGACAGAACATAGATATCCTGATTCTATAATTCTGTAGCTTGATAGGGGAATGAGAACTCAATACTCTCATGGCCTTAAGAAATATTATTAATTGAATTAATTACTAAACCTCTGAGATCACTTTCCCAATGAAAATTTATTAAAAAGAACAAGAAAAGGAGCTAAAATATATTTGAAACACTTAAGTGCTTATAAGCGTGTCCGTCAAGCTTGATAATTTTCCATTCTTAACGTGCTTCT